GGGAGCTGATGGAAGCGGACGTGCGGCATCCGCCCGCCGGCAGCGGCATGCCGGGCTGAGCACGCCGGTTCGGTCGACAGGGCCCCTCGCCGGCTGACGAAAGCCAGCGCCGCGCCGGTGCTGCATGATGGCCGCATGGCCCTCCTCGACCGCATTGCCCCGCCGCTGTTCATCTTCATCTGGGCCACCGGCTACATCGCCGCCAAACTCGCGGCGCCCTATGCCGACCCGCTGACCTTCCTGAGCTGGCGCTATGCCGGCGTCGTCGTGCTGATGCTGGCGCTGGCGCTGATGGCTCGCGCGCCGTGGCCGTCGCCGCGGTCAATGGTGCACCTGGCGGTCGCGGGCCTGGGCATCCAGGCGCTGTACCTGGGCGGCGTGTGGGTCGCCATCCGCCAGGGCCTGCCGGCCGGCACGGCGGCCCTCATCGTCAACCTGCAGCCGGTGCTGGTGGCGGCGCTGGCGCCGCTCATCGGCGAGCGCGTCTCGCCGCGTCAGTGGGTGGGCGTCGCGCTGGGCTTGGCCGGTGTCGTGCTCGTCATCTGGCACAAGCTCAACCTCGGCGCCGGCTTCGGCCCCCCGCTGCTGCTGAGCGTCATGGCGCTGCTGGCCATCACCGGCGGCACGCTGTACCAGAAACACTTCGTGCCGCACTTCGACCTGCGCACCGGCCAGGTCGGTGCAGTTCGCTGCGTCGCTGGCGCTGACGCTGCCCATGGCCTGGTGGCTGGAGCCGATGCGCATCGTCTGGAACGGCGACGTCGTCTTCGCGATGGCGTGGAGCGTGTTCGTGCTGACGGCCGGCGGCATCAGCCTGATGTTCTACATGCTGCGCCACGGCCGCGTCACGGCGGTCAGCAGCACGATGTATCTCGTGCCCTCTGTCACCTCCGTGATGGCGTGGCTGCTGTTCGGCGACACACTCGGCGCACCAAGCCATCGCCGGGCATGGGCGTCACGCTGCTGGGCGTCTACCTGGTGGTGGCCAGAAAGTAGACCGGAGACTGCCCCGATGACGACTGCCCGCGCCCACCACAAGTTCTGGCCCGCCCGCGTGCCGCATGCGATCGAGCCGCCGGCCGTCGGGCTGCACGACAACCTGCTCGTCAACGCGCGCCGCTTCCCGCAGCGCCCGGCACTCATCTTCCTCGGCCAGACCACCACCTACGCCGAGCTTGCCGCTCAGGTGCAGCGTTTGGCCGGCTGGTTCGCGCAGCGCGGCATCGCCAAGGGCGACCGGGTGCTCGTGGACCTGCAGAACTGCCCGCAGCTCGTCATCTCCCACTACGCGCTGCTGAGCCTGGGCGTGGTGCTGGTGCCGGTGAACCCGATGTGCCGCGCGGCCGAGATCAAGCACCTGATCGACGACAGCGGCGCCGTCTTCGCCGTGACGAGTGCCGACCTCACCGCCGAATGGCTGGCCGCCGGCATGCGGGCCGACCGCCTGCTCGTCACGCGCCTGGCCGAGGTGCTGCCCGGGCGGG